TTCCGTTCTCTCTCTTTCTCGTTCCCCCAGTTCCTCCAGGTATTCTCGTGGAAACAGAAAGAGAAAGGATCACTCACCGAACCGTGATGGAGAGGGGAGGAATCAACGGTAAGCAAGAGAGATCTTTGACTACCTCTCTACAACGACGACGTCGCGCGTACTGTAAAAAGCGAGATCGCCCGAGGCCTTACACCTCGAACCAGTAAAACTTGTACGCTAGTGTCCAAGTGCGCTCCTCCCGGAGTTTCTCCATTCCTCCTCGATACTCTTACCTCGCTCCCGACACCAATCGTACGCTATATATTTTCCTCTCTCGTCTCTCAATCTCGTCGTGATATCACGACGAGAAAATCATCCGGTCGATGAATTCGAGGAGGGAGTAGGTGGATAGNAGATACGACGACGACGACGACGACGACGATCATCATCGTCGCATGGAAAGATCGAATCGATACAGCAAATTTATTTACGATAAATATTTCTCTTTCCCCTCCCTTCGATCGTTGCTCGATACTACGTTGAATCGCGCAACTATCGCGACTCCCAACTGTATCGACTAGACCAATCGTCTTTGGTTTCAACGACACGCGTCGTCTCCCGTGTCTCCAGCATCTTTCCATTTCGAAGGTCGGTCCTCCTCGCGCGTGTACGTCGCGTAAGAAGCGTTCAGAAACCGAAGAACAATTTGCACAATTTCTCTCTCTGGATCCGCTCGGCGATTCAGAAGAGAACCAGCTCCAGCTCCGGCTCCAGCTCGGTCCAGCTACACGCGCTTGGTCACACTTGGTCGACGCTCACGTCGAGTCGACTTCTCACGGAAGGGGCGTTGTCGTTCAACGCGAGTTGACCGATTCGTTTAACGACAGGGCCCAAGTCGTTGTTCAGGTATTCCCTGAATTGCAGGCATTTCGCTTTCGTGTTTATATCGTCGGAACTTCCCCAAATGATAAACCCATCGGCGCCGAGGTCCGTGATTTTTCGTAAAGTTGCCTCGAGGTCGGCCTGCGGAGGTTAAAAATTCATTTTCGAGGAGAATTTTAATCGCTCGCCTCGTCACGCTCAAAGTTTCCAATTAAAAATAAAATTTCTCTACGAAATTTCGAGAAATCGCTCACCCTGCTCAAATCCGTGTCCCTTCGATCCTGATATTTGTACCAGTAATAGGGTAGAACCTTCTTTCCGCTCGTCGTCATTTGCCTCGCTATTCTCAACGCCTCCTTCACGCGGCCACCGACCAGGCCGACTCTTTCGCCGCTCGTCAGATTCCATCTCAAGTAAACGGACGGAAGGAGGACGTCTTCCGACTCGAACAGCCATGACATTCTGAATGGGGGAAGCAAACGATTTCTGGTTGCCTTATCTGGGGCCGATTAGATAACACCGTTGTAACTCCCTTTGGGACGGTTTAAAATTTTTCACCGGAACACGACTCTTGACACTGACCCACTTAACCACGACCATTGTACGCGCGTTCACGGCCGGGAATTCGTAATCTCGTTACCTTAACAAATCTTTCTTTAAAAGAAAAGAAGCAACGTTTTCGAAAGGTGACGAAATCGAATTCTCGATCGAGAATTTCATTTATCGGGTATGGAATTTCGGTGTCGTGCGATGTAATAGTTAGAAAAAGTTTCCACTTTTCGTTACGTACTTATCGTTTTCCTGCATGGTGGTTGGGTCGCATTGGGCGTTCGGTTGTTTCGGTGTCAGATTGTAGCAATAAGGGTAAGCGTAGTATCCCCAATTGGCGGACGGCCTCATCCCTTTCGCGGCTTTCAACGTCTCCTCCATGAAAAGTTTCCCGTATTTCTCGAATCTTCGTTTCGCTTCCTGCTCCACCCTCCGATCGTCCCAGAACGGATGCTCGCGGCGAACTATGTCTATGGATAGATCCTTATAAGGCTGGAGGGAGGCCCAATTCTGTCTGAATATCGGCCTCCAACTTTCGAAATCGATCACCCCCACGCCGGGAAACGATTTGTCCGGGATCTGATTGATCAAATGGTCCCGAAATACTTGGAGATGCTTGGTGAGATTGCCCAGTTGCGGGACACCGCCGTTCCTCGCCACCACGTTCCCTGGACAAACGTTTCAAACTTTCGTCAGTTTCCTTTCCTCTCCTTCTCCCTCCATGATTTTTTTTCGTGATACACTCATGTGTGAGTGTGTGTGTGTGTGTGTGTGTGAGTGTGTGGGTGTGGGTATGTTTGTATATATTATTGTTTACCGTTCGGGTCTTTCAGCAACGCCGGGAACATTCCAGGGTCGTAAAGGATCGCGATCTTTTCGCCCCGAAACTTATCCATCCAGTTCTGTAGGATACCATATTTCTCCGATACTTCTTCGAAGCGTAGCCCGTATTTATGGCACATAAAGGTGGGCACGTTCCAGTAAACGTTGAACTCCCGTTCGGTTTTGTTGTCGTCGTTGGGGGTGCTCGGTACGAAGCTGACAGAAGAGAAACGAGGTGTTAGCGAAACTCGAGAGAGTCGAGGCCAATGACACGAATTAGATAAGATATTTTCAGACCTGAACTTGAACGCTTTACGAGTATTTCAGGAGTTGCAGGGATGCGCTTGCCAACATTCGCGTTCTCTTTTTTTTTTTTTTTTTTTTTTTTTTTTTTTTTTTTTTTT